AAGAAACGGGAATGTTTGGACTTTTAACTTTTTGTGTTTCTATATTGACAGGGACTGTGTGAATTAAATTTAAACTAACCTTATTTTTGAAGGAATTTTGGGTTATTTGATCCATATATCAAGATAACTATTATTATTTCTTAGCTTGAGTTTTTTTTTTTGTAATAAATCTTTTTTGCTAAAAATCTACAAAACTTCATATTGAATGGTTGTTTTTTCAAATTAACTGGTGTAACATAATTTACCTGATGCTGGAAACGATTCCCCCTTTGAGTGTATTTGTGAATTCTGCTTTAAATAGAAGCTGGATGTTACAAATAGATGGATGGATGGATGGATGAATAGATGGATGGATGGATGGATGAATAGATGGATGGATGAATGGATGGATGGATGGATGGATGGAAACCTACCATTGGTGACTTTCAGCACATGTAGGATTCAGGTGAATTGCTTCTTCTCCGACTTGTTTCCCTGAAAAATAAAAAATAAATAAATAAAAACATCTGACAGAAACATGAATTGAAGACTTTCCATCACTGCAGCATTAAATCAAAAGATGCACGTCTCTGACAGGTGTAACGCTTTTACAGGTGTTTTATTTCCCAGAAGGCACCTGGGCACCTCTTATTTCTGACACACTGATGAAAAGGGATTAAAGCTTAGAGAAACTGGTTAATTCATTTAAATCTGACAGGAATCACAKAGGTGCTCACAAAAAACAAAAGCATCTTCAGTAGATGAAACAGGAAGTGTCATAAAGTGACAGCCACCATATTAAATCTGATCAGTTTAATGACCTCTCTCTGCGTGAGTCTTCTTCTCCTCCAGCGAGCTGCAGAGGTCGTGGACYTCACAGTACGCTCGGGTCAGCCGCCACAGAAACGCAGAGCTCTGTCCAAACTGGAGAAAAGTGTTCAACAATCCTGGAGTTTAGCATCCTTAGCTGTGCTGCGGACAAACCAACACAAACAGGAAACAAACCTGGTCTTTTTGCTCCAGCAGGATGTCCAGACTCTCTCTTTTTCCTGACTCGTCGCCCTGACGTAAACGGTCGATCCTTTCCAGGAGGACTGACAGCTGGTCCTCGTCTTCTTCTTCACTGTTCTGCTCTGCTTCGCTTTGCTCGTCTTCATCCTCCGAYTCGGTCAGAGCCGTAATGTACCTGAGAACAAACACGAGTGGGAGATGAAAAGGTGCGTTTAGGGGTCGGCTGAGGAGTCTGCACCATACATAACCTGAATCTGCAGGTAAAGGCACAACGTCCACAAACTTTAAAGGTTTTAACTAAGATTATGTTTGGGAGGAGAAACAAAATAAATACAGCAAAACGTCTACATCAACTACAAACATATCAAATCCTATCTCATTGTCTGTAAAACTGACCAAGTTATAGTCTTTTTTGTACTTTTTAAGTTAATTTGGTGTGCAAATTTTAATAAAATCCTTCCAGTGGTTCATGAGGTATTTTACTAATAGACAAACAACGAATATTATCATCACAGAAGGCTCATATCTGATGTCAAAACACCAAAATAAGCATTTTTTTTCCTGAAAAGCTTCCATCATAAGCGCTCAAGTCCTAACAAGTGGTTTTACGAGTCACCAAGCTCTGATTACGACGGATCAATCCTCAAGGTTTACACAAAAACAGCACCAGCCGTGTTTACACAAGTTAATTGTTTATCATTTTTTTATGAAGCAGCTGACGTCAGACACCCGAAAAATTTCCATGCGCACGGAGAGGACTTGTTAAACAAGGCGAGGCATGCGCTGCTCGCGTAGGGACGGTGAATTTTCAACCCAGTCGGGTTCGCAGTGACACCCCGGGCCAACACTTAAATACAGATATCATAAAGTTACAGGTACAAATCAAAGACACAGACACCAGAAGCCTCAATTAGGTGCTGGCAGGAGCTGCATCTGCGTCACTGGTGGTTCAGAGAACACGTTGGGCCGTAAGCCATGGTTTGGGAGGGATGTGTCAGAGCACAGAGGGGAAGGCTATGTGCCCAGCAGGTGCTCGTTAGCTCCGCCCCTCAACACGCTTCCTGAGCTGAATGAGCAGGAGGGAGTTTCAGCTGCAGGGACTTTCTGCACAGTTCTCCTGTCTCATTTGATAAAAAATCTATAGTTTTCTACTCTACAACCTGCTGAGACCCCAACTCGTGCATCGCCCCCAGTCAGAACCGGTGGCTGCAGGGAGCTGATCTCTGCTGGAAGAGGCTGTGAGAAAACACAACKAACATTACAGCTGCTCCACTAACAGTGATAAAGAATAGGGTGGCCAATGTGAGTCCGTTTGTCGTGTTCCCAAAGTGCTTCATTTTTCTTTTGCAAACCTCATTCAGTCAAAACCAAAATGAGCCCAAATCTTTGCCTTCAACAAAGATACGGCCGGTTGAATCCCTCTTTTCTCTGTTTTGTAGTTTCCTCTTTGTTTTGGTGCCTTCTGCGCATGCATACGTTCCAGAACCGGCAGTATGGGGACATCAGGATGTCCCACAATGAAGGCCGACGGTCAGTGGATTTGCAAATTTACCAATTAGTGCTTCTGATAATCTTAAGGATGCTACGATGTTGATGGCTCTTTGATATTCTTGCTTATAAGATATTGGGAAAGTGCTGGCAGCTATTCGAGCCTTGATGAGGCTGCCCGGCCTGTGTGATGGAATATACTGAGCTATCAACACTCAGACACTTTTCGGAGCAGAATTGCTAACCTTTCTGAGGGTCTCAGGCCAGGTGTGGTCCCAGAGCTAGCTCGCTGGTGAAATGGAATAGATCTTGTTGAAGTTGTAAGCTCAGTGAGGCGAGAACGACCAAGAAATTCGGATGATTGGAKTTCGTCGTTGAGAGGTTTCAATGAGATCGTAAGGCTGTAATAAATCAACAGTGGCGGCCTGAACCAAAACAACTGTGCTTATCTGAATCTGGCTCCCACCTATCGGCCTTGAAGGAGGGATATCTCAAACTCACCTGGACGCTCTGCTCCCCACCATCCCTCCCCCTCTTATCTGTGAACTGGTCCGAGAGCAACCAAGTTTTACCTGAAGAACATTATATCATTTTCAGGAACTATGACTGGGTGGGGCAATCGGGGTCTGGTTTCATGGTCTTATGTCACAGACGCACACACAACACTCCACTTCAGATACACACACCTCTGAACTCACCACCTTCTCTGGCTATATGTCAGAGCTGCCCAAAGTGAGGCCCGTGAGGCTGCAGCCTCAGGCACCGGTCRCCCACGTATGTTTGTTTTGTCTCTTGGATGGGTTTTTCCAAAACAAACTTCGTTGTGCTCTGTACAATGACAAATAAAGATATTCTGTGGAYTATTAAGAGTGATCAAGTTGGTTCTGAAGGACATCGGGATGCTCCGGCCTCTAATCGAGGATGTTCAACATGTTGGATAGTTTTGATATCCCAGCCTGGTTGGTAGAGATGTGACGTTCACGAATGATCTGAATCGTTTGAACGATTCTTTATAACGAGCGATAAGAACCGAGTCGCAGGTATTAAAGATACATTTTTCCATCTCTCTCTCATGTGGAGTCCTCCGAGGACAAACAAGTGTGCAGCCTGTTGAATGTGACGAGTGGCCAATCAGAAAGCCAGGTGATGGAAACACGAAGGGGAATCCAAAAATACAGAAGAAAAAACAACTGCCACGGCGCACCAGAAAGTCCGGTTTTTGTTTTYTTTTTTCTCTGCTGAAAATAGTCCTCAAACCATCACCACTGATTTTACATTCTTTAGCTTCAGGAGGCTCAATAATTTAACTTTTTGGTTTGAGTGACTCCATCACTACACATTAATCCTCTAAAAGATTCAGCCATGTTTCCAGCATGAAATCCTTCCATCAGATAACAGATGGTGAAATAATAAAGCTGGAATAGTTCTGTGAATCTCTGGTTTCTGCTTCATTCCATCCATCCATCCATCCATCCATCCATCTATCCATCCATTCATTCATTCATCATCCATCCATCCATCCATCCATCCATCCATCCATCCATCCATCCATCCATCTATCCATCCATCCATCCTCTTCCGTATTATCTGAAGTTGGGTCTCGGGGCAGCAGCTTGAGCAGGGAAGCCCAGACCTCTCTTTCCTCAGCCACCATCTTCCAGCTCTTCTGGGAGGACTCCAAGGTGTTCCCAGGCCTGATGAGAGACAGTCTCTCCAGKATGTCCTGGGMCTTCCTCGGGGTCTCCTCCCAGTTGGARATGCCTGAAGCACCTCCCTAGGGAGGTGTCCAGGAGGCATCCTAACRAGATGSCCAAACCACCTCAACTGGCTCRTCTTGATGTGGAGGAGCAGCGGCTCTACTCTGAGTCCCTCCCGGATAACTGAACTTTTTARCCTCTCTCTAAGGGAGAGTCCAGCTACCCTGCGGAGAAAACTCATTTCGACTTGTATCGAMCTTGTTCTTTCGGTCACTACCCAAAGCTCGTGACCATAGATGAGGGTAGGAACGTAGACTGATKGGTAAACAGAGAGCTTTGTCTTTTCAGGGGTKCTGGAGAAAAGAGTCCGATTGATAGTGGCACCTCAGATTCTGAAAACAATGTTGGTTCCGTCCTGGCCATGGAACACTGGACCAACTCTTTAACCTCACTAGGGTCCTCGAGGGGTCATGGGAGTTTGTTAATCCAGTCTACATGTGTTTTGTGGACTTGGAGAAGYCATTCGATCATGTTCCTCCAYGTACACTGTGGYGGGTGCTATGCGAGTATGGGATTGTGGGTCCGTTGTTACGGGTCATTCAGCSTCTGTACAAGCGGTGCYAGAGTTTGGTTCGCAWWGCCGGTAMTAAGTCGGACCCCTTCAGAGTGTGAGTTGGACTCCGCCAGGGCTGCCSYTTGTCACAGATTCTGTTCATAACTTACATGGACAGAATTTCTCGGTGCAGCCAGTTTGTGGAGGGAGTCTGTTTRGGTGGTCTCAGAATTTCATCTCTGCTGTTTGCAGATGATGTGGTCCTGTTGGTGTCATCGCACCAGGATCTTCAGCTCTCACTAGAGCAGTTCACAGCTGAGTGTGAAGTGGCTGAGATGAAGATCAGTGCCTCCAAATCCGAGTCCATGGTCTTCAGTCAGAAAGGGGTGGATTGCTCTCTCCGGGTTGGGGGGTGAAGTTCTGCCTCAAGTGAYGGAGTTTAAGTATCTTAGGGTCTTGTTCACGAGTGAGGGAAGAATGGAGCATGATATTCATACCACCACTAAGCAGAAAAACGCAAAAGTAACTAGAATTRGACTCCAACTTTAATCTTTATCCATTTTTTTGTGCCATAATTTTAGGATGAAGAGCCAAAGCCTTCATCCACAGGAACACCTCAGTGGGCGACACGCCCCAGCTTAAATAAAAATCTGAAAGGGTGTGTTTTTGTGTTGTGGTCTTTTATTGTGTCTGGATAAACACTCTAATGAGTTTTAACTTCTTATTAACGTCTTGATTTTAACAGAGGAACAAGTGTCACACTGCAGTCATTCATTGTGTGGGTCCATTTTCCCGCCCTGCAGGTATTTACTGAGTGAGGCTGAGTGATCAGAGCATTCCTGTCACGCCACTCCATGGCTCATGAATCACTCGTGTTGAAAGAAGAAAGAAGCTAAAGATCTCTTCCTCTCACCGCATCGTGTTTATGTAATGTACAGTTGCTTGTTCAGGAACCATTATTATCCTTTTGGAGATTACAGCTGTTTAAAAACACGTCTAAGGCTTGCCAAGAGTTTCCACACAGACGGAACTGCAGTGAGCTGCAGGCCTGGAGGTGACGCACACCTGCAGGACATCGCTTCATTTCTGCACAGAGACTGTTCAAAGGTCATAAATACAAGATCTGAAGAGGCTGCTAGAGCTGGACCAATGGGACAGAGAGGACACTTAGAAAGGAGAGGACACTTAGAAAGGAGAGGACACTTAGAAAGGAGAGGACACTCAGAGAGGACACTTA